GACCGAGTGAGACTCCAACTCAAAAAAAAAAAAAGTTTAGATTCACAATAGAGCTGCAGTCATAGCAGTCATAGCACAGAAAGTTCTTATACTCTCCACTCAGTTAATGTCCACACCTCCCATAGTATTAATACAACTCTTGAAACCAGGAAATTAACACTGATACTATGCTAGCAATGATTCTATACACCTCACTCAAAGTTTGCTCATTTCCTCAGTAATGTCCTTTTTCTGGTCCAGGTCCCAGCCAGGATCCCGCATTGCATTTAGTTGTCATGACTCCTTCATCTCCTTTTGTCTGGGACAATCCTCCTCTCTGTTGTGACACTTTAAAGACTATTGATCAGTTATTTTGTACTACACCTCTCCATCTGGCCTCATCTGATGTTTCCTCATTGCTACTTTATTTTTAACTCATGAGCAATCCTATTCATTGTTGAAAACTGAGACAGTATAGAAATAAATAAGTAAACCCATATGTGTCCATATATTTGTATATGTGCACATACATACGTGATAGGGCTATTCTGTTCTCCCCTTAAATGAGTGTTCCCAGCAAGGAATCTCGACTCATGTGTGCCTTGTACCCGGTGAGGGATGGAAGGTAGACAAGAAGGCGGGAGAGAGTATGAGCGATTCTCCTGACCAATCGTGGAGCAGAAGACATACTGAGCTGGAGGAGCCTGTGTAAAATGAGCCTCACACAGCTCCTCCCTCTGCCTCGGTGTCCAGCGTGTGCAGCCTGGTGCCACCCAATGGGCTGACCATAGAGTGCCAGGCCTTGAGGACCCAGCAGATTCAGTCTTGAGGCTCAAGGCATCACAGAGAGGCCCATGTTCTTCTAAGGTCTTGAGTCCAGAGAGTGGATTGTAAAAACGGGAGCTCCGGCCAGCAGAGAGGAGCAGAGAAAGTGAAATCCAATAACCGGGGCCCCAGTGCTGTCCGTGGTGAACGCTGCCTGGGTTGGACCCTCAGCCTCTGTTTACGAGCCCTCCTCCCCATCCCCCAGAGCCAAGCTGACCTGTGCTGAGGACCTTTCTGAGTGAATAAGGGACCAGAATGCTGGGAGAGCAGAAGTTGACAAGGGCTTGAGGTAGGCCTGGGCTCCTACCACCGGCTTCCCCCAGGTCCAGGCCTGGCTAATGAGTCTGGCTCCTTTGTGTTTCTTGGTGATGACAGCCTAGGACCCTCAGGGGATTTGGCCCAGGCCCCCGGGATCTGCGGCTTTCCTGCCACCTCTGCTCCCTGCAGCCCAAGTCTTTGATGTAAAAATTCCCATTTTTAAGCTTTTTATTTCGCAATTATAGACTCATAGGAAGTTGCCAAGATGATTCAGAGAAGCCTCCCATGCCCTTCTCCAGCACCCCAGTGGTGGCAGCTTCCCTAATTAGTACAGTAGCAATACCAGGACACCGCTGTTGACACCAAGCATGTCAACTTCTAGGCTGTTTTCCTACATGTATAGATTCGAGGAATGGCCACCACATCAAGGTACAGAGCTGTGCCCTCACCACAAGAACTCCTGGGTATTACCTCTTTAAAGGGCCCCAACCCCTTCCTGCCCGCCCTCAGCCCCTCCTGAATGAATTCCCGAAAACCTCTGCTTCCACTGCTTTAATTTTGTTATTTTGAGAAAGTTATATAAGTGGAATTAAACAGTATGTAGCCTTTTGAGATTGGCTTCTTCCATCAGCATGATGCTCTGAGATCCGTGCAAGTTACTGCTTGTATTAGTCTCGCCTTTTTTTTTTTTTTTTTT